TTTCTCCATCCGGGATCCTTAATGTGGAGGATTGTTTCTATTCTGATGACTAGATCATAATCTTTTGTAATTTGTTTTCAGGTTAAAAAACCCCTTAGCCATCTTTGCCCCGTCGCACATCTCAGCTCATTCAATGGTCCTTGGGCCCTTAGCTCCTGCTGCTGCCCCTGCTAATGTCTCGCCGATGGCTCGTGGTCAGCTCTTCTGGCTCTCAGATGCCTCCTGTCAGCTACAGAGCACCCTGCTGCTCCTGCCCTAGGCAGCTCAGGCGCTGGTCTCTTGTCCTTCCTTCTGTCCTTCCTTCGTTACGCTGTTCAGCAGCTGACCCCTTGATGTGCTGAGGTGGGGGGAATCCTCTCTCAACTTGAGGCTGGGAAGGCAAGGCCCCCAGAGAGGGGAAGTGCCCAATCACGTGCTCCACACTCCCAGAAGCCAGCCTGGGGCCAGATGCAGGGCAGGGCCCTGAACCCTCGGACCATTTACCCAGTGTTGCCAAGACTCCTTGCCTTCCCGCCTGTGTCGTGTCAGAAGCCACCTCACTGTAAGAACCACAGCCAGGTAGCACCTATATTGGCCAGATCGCCCCTTCCGTCCCTCTCCAGACCACCACCAGACCTTCCCAGTTCCCTTCATCCCTTTGCTTTCTCCCCCCACCCAGCACCCCTTCCTCTGGTTATTTGCCTGAGCTTGGACCACCCTGCAGCAGCTGCCCTGGCTCCTCAGGAGAGCGCTGGCTTGGCGGGCAGAAGGGTCTGAGTGCAGAGAGGCACATAGCGTGCTGGCCTCTCCTCTCCTCTCCCCTCCTGCTACGCTCCCTTCTAGCTGGGGTCAAAGCGGGGCCTTTCACCTTTCCACTTGAGTTCCTTCCCCAGCCCTTTGTCTCCTGTTCGCCCTACCTCAATCCCTTTTGCTCTGTGTGTCCCCAGGACCTCTCTGAGGACACCACAGTGTTCTTGGAGAAGATGAGTAATGGGATGCTCAAGGGCAGCAGGGACAGGGAGGCCATGGCAGGGCCTGAGGAGGGCCCAGCGCACCAGGGGAGCAGCCCCACCTTCATCCCCAGGAGACCTCACTCAAGACTCAGGGCTCTGTCCACACTCTAGGAGGCACTCCGCTGACTCCAAGCCCTTTGTCTCTCAAAGACGAAAACCAGTTCGCTGTGTCTGCCCCAGGCAGAGGCTGTAGAGCTGCCACATACAGGATCATGGGGTGAGGCAGGATCTTTCCTTGACCATCACCAATTTATTCTAGAGCAAAAATTCTAAAACTTTTGGTCTCAGGATCCCTCGACATTCTTTAAAAAGTAGGATTCTGAAGAGTGTTTGCTTTTGTGAGTTATTTCTATTGATAGTCACCATATTAGAAATTAAAATAGAGACCTTTAAAGAATATTATTTAAAATAACATTAATTAACCCACTCTATGTGATCAGATATAACATTTTTATGAAAAATAATTGCTTCCCACATTGGAAAATATTTACTGAGATGAGCGGCATTGTTTTACATGTTTGCAAGTTTCCATAATGTCTATTGTAACAGACAGCTAGACTCTTCTCTCTGCTCAAACTCCATCTACTGTTGCAGTAGCATGTGTCATATAGCTTCTGGAAAATTCCATTACACTTGTGCAAGAAAAAGAGTGAATAAAGGCAAACAACATCTTGCATAATGAAAATAGTTTCAGCCACTCAGAGCACTGAATGGGTCTCAGGGACCCCCAGGGTTCCCCATCCTCACTTTGAGTATCTCTGATATAGAGCAGGGGTGAGCAAGCTTTTTCTGTAAATATTTTCGGCTTTACAGTCTGTCGCAGCTATTCAACTCTGCCGTGGGATCAGGAAGCAGCCATGGGTAATATATATAAACAAATGGGTTTGACTGNTCTGTAAATATTTTCGGCTTTACAGTCTGTCGCAGCTATTCAACTCTGCCATGGGATCAGAAGCAGCCATGGGTAATATATATAAACAAATGGGTTTGACTGTATTCCAATAAAAACTTATTTACAAAAACAGGTTGAGGGGCACTGGATTTGACCCACTGGCCATAGTTTGCCAACCCCTGATCTAGACTCTAAGCTGGCAGGGGCCCTGGGTTTAGGACTCATGCCACAAAAGGGAGAGGACAGTGCCATCTGATTCATCCTGGCCAGGCTCTGGAAGAAGAGAAAAGAGATTTCTAAGAAAAGACTAGGTTTCCTATTTCTAATTACTATAGTTCCCAATTTGGAAGATCTATGGTCTCCACCTCAATACATAGATAACCCTTGGCCAGTTCAGCTTTTCCCACAGCCCATCTAAGACTCTGCCCTTAATCCTACAGCTCATCAGAAAGCACAGGCACATCCAACTCTGGGGGAGCTGTCCTCTCCATCACTGCCTCCCCCCCACCCCGATCAGGGGCACTGGGATGCGCCAGGCGGTGCCAGACAACCAAGTGGACCAGCCATCCCTCGGACTCCTGAGCCAGGCCACCTTTTTGTCATCTTGTCACTTTGCCATCTGTGCTCCTGTTTGGGAACCTCTTTTCCACATACCCGTTCCCAGGGAATAAAAGCTGTCTTTGGACCTGAGCCTCAGCTGTCTCCACTGTTCTTGTCCACCCCACACCCCCATCCTGGTGGGACAAAAAGTCTCCCAGTGAGCAGGTGTTGCCCTTCCTCTGCTGCAGAGGCAAAGGGGTTACTCCTGGCTCTGGCACATTTGTGGATCCAAGTCTCCAACCTGATACTTCCTCTGGTCCTTCTCATTCATCCCCTGGTCCTTCCCTTGGCTTGACCTGAGCCCTCACAGCCCTTTTGCTCCCTGTCCTGTGCTGGGTGCTGTCCGGCTGGAGAAGATGGCCTTAGGACCCCACGGGATTGACTGGGCGCTAAGGGAGACAGCTTTGCCTGGAAAAGGCCCGAGGCAGCCTGTAATGATGGCGCTTGCTCTTCCTCAGCCTTCCACCAGCTTCATCTTTCTTTTGTCTTCCTTGTCGTCTTTACCAGGGTGACGTGGTCACTCCCCACCCAGGGCACAGGCTTGAGTCTGAGCCGGGCAGGGTGGAGCAGGCTCCAAACTAGAGTTTCCTCAGAGATGAGGAGCAGCACCATGCTCTAGGGGGACCCCCATGCATACCCAAAGCCAGCTTTCCCAATTTCATCTCCAGAAAAAGATTGTGTGCTGCCAGCTTGGGGGGAAACCCATCCGCTCCTCTCCCTATGACCCTCAGACTCAACCAGGAAGATCCTGTTCCTCGGCTTTAAAGACAGAACACTCGAGCTGGACTTGTGTGGTCTGTGAGGACTAATGCACTCATGCCCACCCACACCTGGTCTCTGCCCCTGCCTGGCCCATTTGGCTGCCCAGAGCAGCTCCGCGTACACTCTCCAGGCCCCTCAGCAGAGACTCGGTAGATTTACGAGTTCAGCCTTGGCTGAGGCCTTCTCCCATGGCTCCCAGCCACAGTCCAGCTGCTCCCCCACATCCCATGCAGCATGGCTAGGACGTTCTGTGTCTCCTTTCCTGCCTCCACCCCAACTTGCTGAGTCACCCCTTCAGCCCCCTTCCCCCTGCTGCCCTGGCAAGTCCTGTGGAAGAGCAGCAACTCATCACACCAGTGACTCCCAGCCACTCCAGCCTGCCCCAAACCTCACTTACTCTCATAATGGCTATGGTGGCTGTCTAAGGCTGTCCCTGTTGGGACTCTAGTCGTCTTGACTCATCCCCTCCCATTCTGAGGCCCTGAAGTTCAACAAAAAGGTGGTTCCTTCTCTGTCTGGACTTTCAGCACCTGGTTTGAAGCTACACCTGATCTGGAAGATTACTTCCAGTATGTGTAGACTCTGTAGTTAGTCCTCAAATTATTTCTTCAGGACTAGAGATAGATTCCACTAGAACTCTACCAGATTTCTGGCACCTCATGGCAGGACTTAGGGAGAGTCTGGGAAGGCAGTGTCTGTGGGGAGGAGCTGGCCCTGGAGCAGTCATTTGTAGACAGATTGTAGAAATAACTCCAGAGCCAGTGAGGCTGTAGGCCAAAGTCATACAAGGAACCCACTGAACCCAGGCTTTGTTTTTCCTGGAAGTTAGGTTTCTAACACAATAGAAAGAGAAGACTGTAATTATCCCCTGGAAAAAATGCACCTCCCTCTTCTAAGGTTCTTCGAGGACGTCATTGAATCGGTCCACATTCTTCTTATGCAAGGCCTGAGGTGCTGCCTGGTGGTTAAGGTGAAGCTGCATCTGGCATAGGATCTTCTCAAACTAGTCAGTGGGCACCGAAAGTGTCTCTGGAAACTGGAATGTAAGCAACGTCAGCTTTATGGCTTAGCCTGTAAATATAACTCATCAAGAAAAGGGTGGAAGGGTGCAGGGCCCAGGGAGGGAGAAAAATGTAGTGATGCGGGGCAGCTGGAGAGACCACAGTGCAGCAAGAAGCCTCCTAAGTTCCCTCCGGCCTCTCTGACATCCAGTAAACACGTTTTGGGGAAGTAACAAAGCATGTTCCCTTCTTCAGTTTCCCTTCTGGTTATGCGACCCCAGCCCAGCTCTGTTCACACTCACAGCTGCCGAGAGCCGGTGTGGCCTTGGCTGTCCCATCAGCCCCTGTGGCTGCTGCCATCCTAGGCCCCTGTCTCTGCACCTGTGCAGCAAGCTCTGTCTTCTTGCCATCTCTAGAGGGTCTGTGGGAACTTCAGAGGGGGAAAGCAAGAGGTGGTGCCCTAACTCAACTTCCAGCCCAGTTGAACCCCTTCCTCTCCCATTTCTCTTGTAGCTGCCACAGAAGAGCCCTGGGGGTGGGGTGGGGGTGACTTCCCAGGATGAGGATTTGCTCCCTGGTGCTCCTGAGCATTCACAGATGTGCCCGTGGCTTGCCCTGGTCTGCAGGCAGGAACCTGGGAGCTGAATCAGATCTGATGGGTAAGAGTCTAGAGTGAAAACAGGCAGGGCCTGGTAGAGAAGCCAGGTCCCTAAGCTTGAGTGGCAGTCTAGGAGAGAAGGGTGAGTGTGGTGATCATTTGTCACTAAGAGCTGGTGAGAGTGGCCTGGAGGGGAGGAGAGTATCTGTCCCTCCAGAGACTTGGGGCCTGGCCTCTTCCTTCTTTGTTCTTTGGCCCGAGGTGGTGGCTGTGGTGGAGTCAGGGCCAGAGCACCCCAGGCCTCCAGCATAGAGACGAGATCGCATCGGCCACTTCTGTAAGACACGAAGATGGAATGTGAGTAATGCTCACTATTGCAGCTCCTTGGCACCCAAAAGTTCACCTTCTCTAGAAGCCTCCCTACCGTGACTGCTTTGATGACAGTGATCTCTGGCTCACCACCACTCTGGCCCCACATGTTCTCCTGACCACCTGAGCCTGGCAGGGAAGCACTTGAGGAGCCAGCTGAGGAGCAAGGGTCCCAAGAGGAGCCCCTCCCAGTGGGGAGGGAAAAAGAGATGGCAGAGCTGGCTGCAGCCAGGGCTGGGGTGGGGGTGGGGGAAGGGCAAGAAAAGACTCCTGACTTGACCAGTCCTGACCCTTCTCTTGCACAGCCCCCCACCCAAGTGCCTCTGGCCCCAGATGGCAGTGCTACCCATACCCTCTAAGCTGGGGATCTCCCAAGATTGTCCATCCTTCCAGCAGGAGTGTGGGCAGTCCTAGAAATGCCAGGTTGATTCCTAGAAAATGCCAGGTTGATTTGCCCTGAGGCCTGCCCTTTCTTGGCAGGCCCTCCACATGGGGGCTGAAGAGGCACTGCTCCTGGCTGACCAGTCCCACTATCAGAGCTCCAGACCTTACCCACCTCTCATTGGTTCATTCTTCAGTACATTTATCTATTGCTTCCTCCAATGGTCTTACTTTGATCACCATTTTACAACTAAGGAAACAATTATGCCACTCCAGGGGCCACTGTCAGCATTTCAGAGTTGCCCGGATTTAGTCTCAAATTCTTGCATTTTAGCTACATTTGCATGGAAGAAAAAAAAAAGCTCAAGTTTTAAGACATTTCAGAACTATGATTTTTAGGAGGGACAGATGGTGAAAAGTATCCTCCCTAAAAATAAAGTTGACCTCATTACAATGCTACCCTCAGGGGGGCAGACATGGCTCTTCCTTGTAACACTGTTACGCTCTCCAACCAGCAACTTACATGCCATCTCCTGGGCCTGCTTGGTGGCTGTGAGAGGGGAGGGGAGATCTGAAGTCAGACACCCTGGAGTTCAAACGTTTAGCCACTTAATCTCCCTGAGATTCTGTAAAGTAACCCTCCTTTGGTTCGAGTGTGGATTCAACGATAAAAAGGCACTAAAGCACTTGGCCCAGCTCCTGGCAGGCATATCTTTAGCATCCAAATAATGTTCGCTGTTATGGACATGATGATTTATTGTCAATCATACTTTTATTCATAGTCCCATTTCATGCTCTGGAAGAGAAGCGGGGCTCTGGTGGGTTATCTTCCCTTTCACGTATAATAAACCGAGGAGCGGGAGAGGTAGGCGTCAGTCTGGAAGTGGTGCTCCACCCCCACCTTGGCTACTTCTAAGGTGATGCTTTCTTAGACTATTGCTCTCCAGAGGAGGCTCTCTCCTGCGACAGAAGTCCAAGGACACTGAGGCCTTGTACAATGGGATGATGTCCCTGAGTGCAGGACTCTCCTGGGTGTGGTTTCCTTTCCCAGGCACCAGCCTGGAACCTGCTCCTTTTCCTGCCCTGTCACTAGGCACCCCCTAGTCTAGGGGCCTCCATGAATTTCCCTGCCCTTGGAGGGACCACATGCTCATGAAGTCATTTCCAATCATCACTCCCCCCTGCAGGCATGGGGACGGCAGTCCAAGACCCCTCTATCCCAAACCCCCTTCCCCAAGGCCCTGGGCCTGTGGCCTACCTTGAGAGGGTGCAGGAAGCAGAGTCCACGCAGGAAGGGTGGCCAGGCGGGGCCAGGCAACTCGTGCCCGAGCATGCGGGTGAGGTGGGCTATGTAGCTGGTGGCCAGCACCAGCACATCCAACTTGGAGAGCTTGGTGTCGGGGGGCACGGCGGGCAGAGCAGCCTGCAGGGCCAGGAAGGCCTGGCGCAGAGTCCTCACCCGGCTCCGCTCCCGTGCCGCGTTCTCAGGACTGGCCTCACTCTGCACAGAGAACCCCCTGAGTGAGTCTAACCCGACTCCCATCTGTCCCTGGCTTCTAAGAGCATTCTAGTGTAAGGTCTTCCCCCTCTGAATAGCTAGGACCAAGGACATCACCCCAATTTGTCCACTTTTGGCCCTGCCCCTCCTTACAGCTGAGGAATTGGAGAGAAGGCCTCGCCTGAGGTCAGATGGGCCAGGATGGCAAAGCTTGGCTCAGAGTCCTGTACTCTTTCTAAGTCTCCACTGTGCCTCCTCCTAGCGCTCATTCCACCCACACCCAAGCCTGAATCCTGCTTATCAGAGTGCCCGGGGGCCACAGGGAGCACTGAGCAGTGCCCTGCTCAGCAGGGATGACCCTTGGCCCAGCGGGTCCTGAGAGGAAGAGGCAGCTGTGATAAAGAGGAAAGGACACCAGACTGGGGTCAAATCACAGACTGAAGTCCTGGCCTGCCACTGACTGTTGCCCTGGGGCCTTGGGAAATTCACATCGCTCCTCCAGGCCTGTGTCCTCAAGAGAAGTGAGTTGGGCCAGGTCCCTCAGCCACACTCTGGTTAAGAGCAGCTTTTCCCAACCACCAAAGCACAGAGCCTTAGAGTCGAAGGGGCCAGTGTCCCCTCTTCAGGGCAGGGATGGTAACACATAATGACGCTCTGCCATTGGAGGTGACCTCTCTCAGCCCCTCCTATCCCTGCCTCCCCAGCTCCCTCTGCAGGGCCAGTGTTTCCTTACCCTGCCAAGAGCTAGGCTCCTGGTCCTGGCACCTCTAGGGGTAGGGGCAGCTCTGCTCCACGTTTGGTTGCTCCAGCTGGTCTCTTCCCACAGGTCTTGCCTTGGTCTGCTCAGGCGGCTCCTCCTCCTGTCAGTGCCTGCGAGCAACCTTGGCCTGGCCTTCGCTGGGCTCTGCCTGACTCTGGGCATGGCTGGTGCCCCTCTGGCCTTACTCTGTGACATGCAACACCCCAGGAATGTGGTGCCACAGCTCCAAGGACAGGAACACAGTGCCCGAAGGAGTCCTTGGGCTTAAGCTTGCTGGGACAGGCTGGTCATCCAGCCAGCAGTGTCTACATCTGAGGGAGTTGGCGCCAACTCAGTCCTGCCTCGGCTTCTTGCTCTGGGAAAACCGCCCACCCAGCACAGCCCCCGCAAAAAACCTCCTGCCTGCCTCCCATCCAGCTGAGGGGTGGGGGTGCTGGATGCTGGGAGTGGCCAAGCCCTGGGAGGAGGCACTGCTGAAGAAGGAAAGAGGACGGTGGGAAGGCAGCTTCCTCCTGGAGATTTGCCTGACCCTGACAGCAGTCCTATGGTAGACCTGCAACTTTAGCTTTGGGGTTCAAGTTCACGGGAGGGCTCTGAACCTCCTTCTCAGAAGCCTGCCTGAGCACATCCTTAAAAGGACTTTTCCTCCCCTGCCAGTGAACAGGACCTTCCAGCCATGGAGCACTATTCTCCATCTCCCAAACATACCTCGGATTTTCAACCCAGTGCTTTTCCTTTTACCTTTCTGTCCCCCTGGGATACTTTCCTCCCACTCTGCCCAGGGAAAGGCTGCCCATCCAGTGGGTTATGCCCTTCATTTGGGAAGGCACAGAGTCCAGAGCCTGTGTCTCCCTGTTTCATTGGTGCTCCCATTTATGCACAACCACACCCTGGCTGCCTTCCTAGCAGTTCAAAGTTCTCAGGACATTGCATGCCAGGCAGTGTGCCAAGCACTTTATGTATAGTATCTTTACCTCTCAGGTCAACCTTAAACGAAAATAGACTCTTGCATCCTCATTTTACAGCTGGGAATACTGAGGTATCAGGAGGTGAAATAACTTGTCCAGTGTCAAACATCTAGTGAGTGGTGTGGGTGGTGTGAAAACCCAGGCAGTTAGTGGACTTGGAAGGCTGCCCTCCCCCCATACCATTCTGCCTTGGGTGACTCACTCACCTGTCTGTCCGCATGCTAGACGTGAGGTCTTTGAAGGCAAGGACCAGGATGTTTGCTGAGTGGCACTGGATCCTCCATACAGCTAGTTAGGAGCAGGCAGACTGTAGAAATAGCAAATCTGCCACAGTAGCCCCTGCCTGCCCTCAAGTTACAACCTCTGCCTGCAGCAGTCACCTTGCAAGTCGCTCGTTCCTCAGTTTTGAACTCCAGGGGAGACAAAATAAGTAAAGAGAAAGTACAGAGAGGACAGAGAAACAAAGGTGGCTGTAGATACAATGAGGCAGACACCCAGCCAACCGGAGAGAAAGGAAAAAAAGAAGACAAGTGAAACTGACCTGAATGTCCACCAGTAATAGAAAGAATAAGACAGACCTCTGTGTAATGACATGGAGAAACTCTCCAAGACGCAAAATTAAGTGAAAAAACCTAGTTGTAAACCAGTATGTATGAGATCCAACCACGATGAAAGACACCAAAAACAAAGCTGTAAGTGTGAAGGTTTATGTACTTATGTGAACACATAGAAAGGAGACTGAAAGATGTGCACCAAGCTTTTTAAAAAAAATAATTCTTTGTTTTACTCTAGATGCAGGGAATTAAACATACACCTCAGTTCGTGGCACACAGTCTGATACACGCAGGACCGATTCCGAAGGTGAAGCCTGACTCCCTCCCCTGAGTATAGGCTGGACTTAGCGACCTGCTTCTAACAAGTAGAATGTGGCAGAAGTGTGTAACTTCCAAACCTAGGTTATAAAAGACACTGCGGTTTCCTCCTTGCTCTCTCTCAGATCACCCAGGTTACTCATATGACTCACTTACAGCTGGGAATACTGAGAGAAGCCAGTTGCTATGTCATGAAATAGCCCCTAGGAGAGGCCCACGTGGTGAGAAACTGAGGCCTCTCACCAACAGCCAGCACTAACTTGCACAGTGTGGGTGCACCACCTCGAAAACAGACCCTCCAGCCTTCAGGTGCCTACAGCCCTAGCTGACAGTTTGAGTACAACCCAGGAGAGTCCCTGAGCCAGAGTCACCCACCAAAGCTGCTCTAACCCACAGAATTCCTGACCCGCAGAAGCCATGTGAGATAATAAATGTTTATTGCTGTTTAAGTGTGGGGGTAATTTGGTAAGCAGTAACAGAGAACTGATATGGTGGGAGTTGTTGAACCATGTGCATTGCTGTATGAATGAATTTTAAATTCAGTAAATGATAATACATTTTATAGTATAAATATATAATGCCACTTTTGTATTAGGTATTGTATTATATATTCCATTGTTACTTCCATTCAAGCCCATATTTTTAAGTCCCCTGCTGCTCCCTGTTGCAGAATACTCCACAGTGTGCACCCATCACATTTTGAGCTCCCAGAGCCCCAGAGATGAATATCCAGATTGCCTCCAGCTCCTCATCACCCCAAACAATGCTGTCATGAATATCACGTCTCCTCCTGGATCCAGGTTAGATTTTTAAAAACATATGCCCAGGAGCAGGCTGCTGGATTAATGGACTAAGTACCGCCAGAGTGTCATCAGAATGGCTGCAGAGTCTGCACGTCCAGCGGCACTGCACGGAGCCCTAGAACCCCACATCCTCACCACTGCCTGGGAGTAACCAGGTTCCTAGTTTTACAGTCAAATAACTATACAGGGTGATCTTGTTGCCATTTTAATTTGCCCTTATCTGATTACTGAGTTCAAGCACCTTTTAAGTATGGTGCTTGGTAGAGATTCAGTTTTATTTTTCTCCATAGAGGGAACCAGTTTTATTATCTCTATATAGGGAGACTTTTCTCAGCATCAGCTACTAACTGGCCCATTCTCTCCCTGTTTAGTTTCAGCTCCCACTTTACCATATATTAAGTTTCCAGATTTGTCAATTTCTGAGCTCTCTATTCTGTTCCACTGATTTTTTTGGTGTTTGTTTTTTGGTCTGTGTTTGAGCCAATGTCACAGTGCTTTTATTATGACTTTGTAGCATTAATATTTGGTAGAATAAACTCCCCTCTTTACTCTTATTTTTCAAGGTTGACTTAGTTATTTCTGGACCCTTAGTTTTCCAGATATATCTTAGAGAGGGTTTATTGAGTCCCTAAGAATTCAACAAAAATTTTGACTGGGATTTCATTGAATCAATGGGTTAAGTTGGGAAGTTTGCCATCTTGATACTTGTTTTTTTAAATCCTCATTGGAGACAATTTTTTCCATTGCTTTTCAGAGAGAGAGTGGGGGAGAGAGAAACATCGATGTAAGAAAGACATCCCACAGGTGTCCAGACATCAAGCCTGCAACTGAGGTACCTGCCCTTGGCTGGAATTGAACCTGGGACCCTTCATTCCAAGGACCAACTCTCTAACCATTGAGCCAAACAGGCTATGGTACCATCTTGATACTTTTAAGTTAACCTTTCCAAAAACATGAAATATCTTTTACTTTATTCCAATTATTTTCTATATCTTTTATTAGTTTTATAGTTTACACCACGTAAACTATAAACGTGTATTCTTGCTTAAGTGAAATCATTCATAGTTTTATTGTACTAAATAGTTCATAGCTTTTGTTGCTTTTGCAAATGTCTTTTTTCTTTTTTATATATCTTTATTGATTTCAGAGAGAGGAAGGGAGAGGGAGAAAGAGAGATAGAAACATCAATGATGAGAGAGTCATTGATCGGCTGCAGCCCGCAACCCGGGCATGTGCCCTGACCGGGAGTCGAACCCGGATCGCCTGGATCCTAGGTCAACACTCACCCACTGAGCCACGCCCAGCTGGGCGCAAATGTCCTTTTTCTTATATTTCCTGGTTGGTTATGGCTATAATCAGCTGTAAAGAAATGCTATTAAAGTTCTGAAAGCTTATCTTGAATCTAGCAAACTTGTTGAACTTTATTAGTCATAATATTCTGTTGATTCTGTTGGTTTTTCTGAGTAGCTAGAATAATGACAATTTTATCTCTTCCTTTCCAATGTTTACATTTCTTGTTTCTTTCTCTTTCCTTAGGGCATTGACCAGTGCTTCCAATACTATGTTAAACAGAGCCTGTGATAATGGGCACCCTCTTCTCCTGGTCTTGGTGTATCTACCACTTCCCATTAAGCATATTAGGTATAGGTTTCTTACATATGACCTTTAGCGAATTAAGGCAGTAGCCCTCTATTCCTCATTTGCTAAGAGGTTTTTGGCGAGGAAGAAATGAGGAATGACTGCTAATGGGGATGGGATTTCCTTTGGGGGGTACAAAATGTTCTAAAATTAGATTGTGTTGATGGTGGCACAACCGTGTGAGTTGCATACTTTAAGTGGGTGGATTGTAAGGTATGTGAATTATATCTCAATAAAGCTGTTAAGAAAATGGTTATTAAAATATATAAGCATATCCCAAGGGGGACTTGGAGCATAAGCCCTGATCAGAAAGCAAGAGAAAATAAGAAGTTGATGGGAGGGCCAGCCCAAATAGGCTGTGTGGTTGAGGAAAACCCTGGGTGGAGGAAGTGGTATATGGGCAGAGAACCCAGCTGGTAACTGGGGCCTGAAGGGACCGAGTGCCCCAAAGAATTGTGTCTGCTTCAGTTTTGTCAAGGGCCAGCCTTTGGATGATCTCTGAAAGAAGCTCCCAGAGCCTCGAGGTGGAGAGTCTATGATGTCAGCACCTGACCTTTGTGACATAGGCCCTAGATGTCATGGAGAACTGCCCCTAGGAAATGGGGCTTCTAGCTCCCAAGTGGTGTGGTAACACCACCCCTTAGACAAAGTCCTGGTATCTCAGAGGCTTTCACCAGCTAGCCCGGCTGCTCCTGCTGCTGCTGGGTGTGATAAGCTATATTGACTAGGGCCAGGCTGAGCCAAGGGATATCAGCATTAGGGGCAGCAAGGGGACAGAGTGGCAGGAAGCCAGGATGCTCACAGAATCCCTGACTCAGGTTTAGGAGAACAGAAGCCTTCAACAGAAGACCTCACCTGGCCAAAGGAGGACTTGAGACAAGGCTCAGACAGAAATCCAGGCCAGAGTGAGTTTA